TGCATCCACAACATGTGTTGTTTTTTTTTTTTTTCTTTCTGAATCTCTTTTTGTGGTGATAGAGAATAAGCTGACGCATCTGGAAAGCATCTTTTCTTGGGCCATTCACTCTCTCAGCCCATAGTGTGTACTTGGATGCTGTCTTGCCTGAGTTGTTGTGATGAGTAGTGAAAAAATCCACATTTTGCCCTTGCGGTGACAGAGGGCAGAGAGACCAGTATGAGCACCTACAGCAATCTCCTGAAAGGCAGGTGGTCTGGTGGTTAAAAGCTTTGTTAAACATGAAATGTGCAATATGTATTTGTTGTGGATCTGATGGTAATTAAGAATAATTTTTGAGGCAGCCATTGATGTCAGCCACTCTCCTTTTACTCCTTACTCAATACCTGTGTGAAGTAGGTCTAGTTTGCTGTCAAGTTGTACACTGCAATGATGGGCACTTGTTTTTCTTCTCCCGGCCGCGCTGCGTGGCTAAAGGAGAGGCTGAGGGACTTGGGTCGTCTTAGTCTGGAGAAGAGAAGGCTGAGGGGGGATCTGATCAATGCTCATAAATACTTAAAGGGAGGGAGTCAGGAGGATGGGGCTGGTCTTTTCTTGGTGGTGCCCAGGGACAGGACAAGAGGAAATGGGCACAAACTTGAATATAAGAAGTTCCACCTAAAGATGAGGAGGAACTTCTTTGCTGTGAGGGTGGCAGAGCCCTGGCAGAGGCTGCCCAGGGAGGTGGTGGAGTCTCCTACTCTGGAGACATTCCAAACCCGCCTGGACACGTTCCTGTGGGACCTGCTCTAGGTAGACCCACTCCGGTGGTGGGGTTGGACTTGGTGATCTCCAGAGGTCCCTTCCAGCCCCATCTGATTCTATGATTCTAAAGGGAAAGCACTGTATGGATACTGCGTGTAGAGCACAGCCCAGCTCCAGAACCATTCCCAAATCCGTTCCACTTGGAGCAGCTCTACCTGAGTTTAATAACAAAGGGGCTGAAGGTTGCTGCTGAGGCTGGTGGCTCATCCTCGCTGAGGTCTGCGCTGCCTCCCAAGTTCTAGCAGTGCTAGCAGCCACGGGGACACTTCATGAATTCCCAAGCAGCGTGATTTAAGCAACCGTCTTGATGCGGTTGGTGCTGGAGTTACTTAAAATACTGACGTGTTTTGCCTTCTAAGCTCCAGAATTCTTCAAATGGAAATTCTGTCGCTGCCGAGAACCCATCACATGATGGTAAAGGTTTAGATCTCTGGCAGGTTAACAGAGAGAAGGCAGTGGTGGTAGGACAGATGTCCACCCTCCTTGCCTAGCCCACAGCCTACAGCATCTAGAAAGGGAGACGAGCGTGGCAGGCTGACTCTGCGGTGCCTTCAGGGGCACCAGAAAAAATTCCTATCACTGAAGGTACTTGTGTAGTGGCCCTCAGCTCACCATCACATAAAGAACGTCGAGGATCATTTAGCCTTCCTTCCTTACGCCAACTCAGTACTTTACGAATGGCCACTGTGAAATGGTGGTTTTGTTGGTCGTTTGCGCGAAAGAAGATCTAGAAAAAGGGTGTGCTAGGTAGTGAGGGTGACAAAAAAAATCCTGAACTTCAACGAAATGCGAACACTTTACGTTATAATCAAGACGGTCTGATTCCAGTACATTTCTTCTTTTTAATTTTCACACTTTTATAAGTTACCAGTGTTCTGCGAGAAACGTCCAAACTGTCTGTGGTCCATCTTCAGTGGGGCTTATGTGGATATGTGGGTAAGGCAAAGGGAAATCTACCCCAAAACTTACTGTCTCCCAGTAGACCCCACACATCTGATCTCCCAAGGTTTTGTGCAGGTCACTTGAGAGTCCGGCTGTCAGAGTACTTACTTTGCAAGGAATGATACCTTAAATAATTGGGATTATAATTAAGTATGATTGAAGCTATTGGAAGGATGGGCTAATCCCATGAAAATAAAGTGCCTATTAAGCCATGTTGTCCAAAAAGTATTCTCTAACAAAAGATTATTTTTTTTAAAAAGCTGACAGTGATCAATATATGCTTTTTGATTTATTAGCAAAAGGAAATTGCTGAAAAAAATATAATCTAAGAAGGCTGCCTTTTGTCAGACTACTTCCGCTCCAGTTTATAAACCAAAGGAATTATGTATTGTGCTTACTAAGCTAGCACATAAAGCTCCCCCTTTGGGCATCCCAAAGTTTCTTTAAAAACTAAATAATAGTGGAGAGATTGAGTCTGGTGGATTCACCCCCAGCTCCGTCTGTCTCCCGCACCCACGCTTCGCTGGCTTTTAGCTCACCCAACCTTCTCTCTCGGTCCTGCAATTCAAATAAAGCAGTTGTTTTCCCGAGGAAGAAGGCTTTTTTGTTTTTTCCTCCTCTCTAGGTAAAATCAGAGGAAGGGGGAGGATGTCCCCCCGCCGGCAGTGCGGTGGTTGGGTATCGCGGCCGGGACGGGGGGACGTCCTGGGGAAGGGGGAGCTTTTGCAGCACGGGGCTGGGTACCAGCAATCCCTTTTTCTCCCCCTCTCGGTAACTAACTCTGTGACCCCTCTGTCTGGCAGTTTACACATCTGGAAACATTTTTCCACCTTTGGAAGGTGTGGCGGGGATTAATTTAACTTTACAAAGTGCTTTTTGATTCCCAACTGAAGGCTACTGTGGGAGCTCGAAATGCACTGATGAACCAGTACTGGCTGGAGATCTTTGATGTGTGTCAGTGTATTTGTCAAAAACAGTGATTTCTTTTTGGTTCCCTTAACTTGAGGACGAAGCCAATCCTGTGTATTCCTTTTCTCTCTAGGTCTTCCTCCCTTTCTCTCTTGCGCGCACCCACCCCTCAGTAAAGGTTTGGAATAAAGTATCTGCTGAATAAAGAAATAAAATCCTCAGTTTTCAGATGTTTCAGTGTGCCCAGTGTGTTATACTGCCAGTATCAGGATACTGATAGTCTTTGTTAGATGGGCACTACAGTAACCAACATGCTAGCTGCAGACAGGACAAAGAAGAAACTGCCTTCTATAATCATTCTTCTGTGCCGTTTGGAAACACTGCACCCTTTTTCCTAGGGAAAAAGGGATGGAAGAGTGGCAGTAGACATTTCTGATTAGTTGTATGGCCAGGTGGCAAATGCATTACTTGCAGCAGTTCTCTGTCTCCAATGTTTGAAATAAAAAAAACGTAAGTTAAAAGTGTTTTCTTCAGCAGTGTTAGTATTTTAGCACTGGCTTCCATTCTTTCTCACAGCTTTTGACAGAACAGGTTTAAAGTCCTATGGTTTCTGTTTCTGTGTGTTTCTCAAGTTTCCAGCTTGTACCACAGTTTATTTGGAGCCTCTCTGAGAATATTCTGCTGTAGCTCTTTGTTATGTGGTGAGAATATTTTCATATAAATCTCTAGCATCTTAATAAAAAGTTAATCAACGTAACATTTCCTTTACATGAAAATGTCGATTCTCTGCGTTTTCCCACTTGCACGTGGCTGTCTACAAATGCATTTAAGGGCTTGGACTTGGCTGACGTAGCAAAAAGGGGTGCTGCTTGGGAGCACAGGGTTGAAATTAAGTGGATGTAAATTAAACTATCAAGCAAAGAGCCCTAACAGTGACACCTCTAAGGCTGTGCTACAGTCTTCCAAAGAAAGCAGTAGATGATTCACCATTTCAGACATTTCAATCCAATCTAGAAAGCTGTAGTAAATATATTGTAGGGAACATTCCTGCACTGGCAGGGGGGTAGACTAAATGAGCTATTACCAGTAGCTCTTTTCCATGTCTGACTGATAGTTGGCTAGGAACACGTTTAGCATAGTCGCCAATTTTCTTTTTTTTTTTTTTTTTTTTTTTTTTCCACTTTTGGAGCAGCAGTGACATTGGCAGAAGAATGCTTCCTGTGTTTGAGAAAGGTTTGTGTGGCAGGGTTGTCCCAAAAGCAGGCTATTTTCAGAGGAGGCACAGGCACCGATAGCCTTAATCCTTTCCTAAAGCTTTTTACAGAAAGGTTTTCATCTGGCTCATGTGAGAGGGTGTGGTGGTATTGGAGATATCTGTGGATTAGCTGCTACACATATTTTCTGGTTTCTAAAATTCGAAGTCAAATGATACTGGATATAGTAATAATGCCATTCTTTGTTTTAGTGTATGATTCATAGCTTTTGATTTTTTCCTGGAATTTTGTTCTTCCCTTCCCTTATAACCACTGTCCTTTTTGGGTAGAAGGAGAGTTTTTACAGAATGATGATGAGAGCAAGGTAGTCAGTTCCTCTCTCTGTGTCTGCTGAAAACTCTCCTATAAAAAAACCATCTAATGGTAGTAGAAGTGAGAGAGATGGTGAATTGCGTTTAACTCCATTTTTCTGATATGTTTATGCAAGACTCCTTCCTTTCAAAACACTCATCGGTGGCAGCAACAGCGATAGCAGTTATGGATGATTTAAATACTGTGTAATTTCATCCTAATCAGGGCAGCTGTAGATGATATAACAGGTAGCATCATCCTGACAGCTTGTCGTGTGCTGTGCTGGTAGCGTGGGGAGCCGGGGAGGTATCCAGCACCTTACAGGTTCTGTAACCCTCAAAGCATTGCTGTGTCTTTGTCAGAAGCTGCTGAGACAAAGGTAATTGTCTTTCAAAACCAAAGGGTTGATTTTGATCCCCACAAAACGTAAACAATGTTTAAAATGAAACGCTTTCAAAACAGGCAGTATTTTTTCCCCTATTAATATGATAAAAAGGCAACAAAATATAGATGAAAGGGCAAGGAAACATTGAAGGGGGACACCGGATCAAAGCCTGTGTACAGAATTATCCTCTGTGGCTCATTTTCCTGTAGAAGGACGGGTCTTAATTTGCAGTATATTGCAATATGCTCCTCCTGCTCTTTGGGTCTACTGAAACTTTGCTTACAGTGAAGCTGCGAAATAAAAACCTGGCTAGCTCTAAATTTCCTCTCTTCTCTTTACCTTTTTTTTTTTTTGGTTTTTTTTTTTTTTTTTTTTTTTCACCATATGATGCCCAGGGACTCCAGAAAGCCTCGCTGAGAAAGAAAGGCAGCTCATGGGTATGATCAATCAGCTGACCAGTTTGCGAGAACAGCTGCTAGCAGCTCATGATGAACAGAAGAAACTGGCTGCATCACAGATCGAAAAACAACGCCAACAAATGGAGCTGGCTAAGCAGCAGCAAGAACAGGTGAGTGATTATTATAGTGGCTTTCAGCTTAAATCATTTTCTAGGAGGACTTTCCAGGAGTTTATCTTTTAGGGTTGATAACTTCTGAACTGTACTCTCCACCCAGATTTTTTTTTTTCCCCCATTTGTTTTCTTCGGTGAAGAAGTTTGAACAAAAGCATATTGGGAGGATGCTTTCATTGCAATATATAAAACAGTGGTCTTTGTCTTTTAAAGATACACCTTCCGGTTTGGAGGTATTCTCTTCCAATAGTGTTTTTTCTAAAAAGCGTACGCATCCAGCCCTCCCAAGTAATCTTCCAATTCTGCTTGAATTGAGTCATGCTGAATAGGTATAAAAGGAACCAAATACGGCATTTGGCTTGTAATGTGACAAATGGAAGTGTTGGTTTTGCCAACTGCGCAAAAAAGTGGGGGAGAAGGATATAAAGTCAGTGTGACTTTTTTTCTCCTACGCTTGAGGGGCTCGATTTCCAGCTCTTGCAAATATGCCCTCCGCTGAAAACATGTTCTCACACGTGAACAGTTCCAACGCGCGCACACGGACACATGATATTCATTGAAGAACACAGCTTTTCCAACATATTTGCACCGTGCATGTTTTAGCAGAAATGAATGTCCATTTTTGTACCTGAACATGAGCGGAGAATACTTAGACATCTGGCTTAAAATTTTTGCCAGGAGTCCATCCTGACACCTCTTACGTGGAGGCATTTTGGTTCTGCCTGACCGTGTATTTCAGTTTGTTACGAAATTTGAGTTTATATTGTGTTATGGCAGCGATGTGAATTGTATGAAACTCACAAAATTCTTTTAAATCTGTCATAGCTGTCGTACTTCAATGCTTGTATTGTACCAAGCAAGTCTTAAGATTCTGAACCGCTGTTGACATCTTCAGACATTTTAACCTTGGATGTCCCGATTTTTTATAATCCTTATCTTTAATACTGTGTATCTTGGCCTCACACCTGAAATTCCACGTAGGGGGAACGGGAGAAGTGACTTGCCTATTAAACTAGAGAATTTGCATCACACTGTTGTTTACGTGAAGAAGGTAGAGGAAGGTGTGAAGGTGGAGTTGGCAAGATTCTTCCATGAGGAGACATCCTGCAGGAGCTTTTTCCTTTGCCATGCCTTTTAAAGTTGCTATTGCTACGGGACGGCTGAGTGATTTGAAAGTGAAAAAGAAAATGGAGAGAATGGAAAAAGGGAATAAGAAATCCTGCAGGACTGTTACTAGGATAGCAAGGATTTCTTTTAATTAAAGAAATTATATCATCTAGTTCTGTGTTATATAGAAATTAAAATAACCAAACTTTGAAAAAAGAAGTATTGATAAAAATTATTTCGGTTGCTTAAAGAGAGGCTCTAGAAAGGAAGCATCACTCTTCTAGATGTGGAGTTAACTATGAGTGAGTGTTTCTTATGCTAATAGTTTAATAATAGAAATGAAAGAAAATACCTAAGGGGAAGAATGCACAAAATTCCTCCCAGTAAGTATGTATAAGTTCCCATCTGACCCTGAGATGTGTACACATACCACAGGGGAAAAGCAATACTCCTTCTAATGTTTGTACTGCTGTGCAAGCTATTCATGAGAGCAGAGCTTTTGTGATGACTCAAATGAAAGTTTTTTGAGTTTCCTTTTTAAGTGTGACATACATAATGGTTTATCTCCATCAGTCCTCTGGGAACTCTAATTTGCTTCCTTTACTGTCTGCTGTTTCCTTCGCTGTGTGTAAAATGTGTCTACAGTAAGGTTCCCAATCATCTAGTCAATGGAGAGGGAGGATGGAAGTCCTTATGGAAAACACAGATGACTTTGAGAGGAGACTACATGTACTCCATCGACTTCCATGAATGAGTTTCAGCGTTGAGCTGTGTGGCCTTGCACTGCTACCTTTGTTCTTTTCAGCTGATACACACGTTGAAGAGTCAGTGGTTTTCCCAAACTCAGTTCCATTCTTTTTGTGTCTATTCCTGCATCAAGGAAATGTGCTCGCTAATACCTTCCTCCTGGGTGTCAGATTTCCTTTTTTTGGAATTTTTGAATAGGTGGTGCCAAACATAAAAAAAAAATATTGCCGTCCATCCTACTTTTTTTTGCCTTTCCTGTCTTCCCCTACTATTTTCCAGCTTCTGTGCCAGTATTGTTCTTCCTCCAGCAAGTTGGAGCAAATGAGTGCTCGCTTTGGGGGGATTTTAGCAGTGCTGTTTCAGATAATGAGGAGAGATTTTTGCATCAGTCCTTCCTTTAATATCCAGCGCAGTGTTTTCCATAAGATTCCCTTTCACACTAGTACTAGCTATGAATTGCTCCTGAACATGAGCTCCTGAACATGAGTCCAGGCTGCCACCACCCGCACTTGAAGGTTTCTTAGCTTAATAGAGCCGTTTAAAGAATGAAGCAGGGTGGATGTTTCCTATGTACCGGCTCCAGGAATGGTGATCCATCTCACGTTTCTTCTGTGCAATTTCTCCACAGATTGCAAGACAACAGCAGCAGCTCCTGCAGCAGCAACACAAAATCAACCTTCTTCAGCAACAGATCCAGGTCAGAGACTGCGTCTCCACCCGTGCCCCTCTTACCTCTCCTCTCTCCTTTCTGGTTCCCCATGCTTTCCCTCAGCCATTACTGTCATACTTTCTTTAAGAATCTCTGCAGATGGCTTACATCTTACTTATGGAAGCACATGAGGATGTTGCCTGTCGTTAAGCAAAAAAGATGTTATCATTAAGCAAAAAAGATCAGTTTCTGGAAGGCCTTCTGGAAGCAGCTCCACTGCTTCCACTGCTCGTGTAGGATCAGGAGGCAGATGTGAGAGGAGCTGGTTGTGTGAGCAAGGGTTTGCAGGACCAAGTCCTTTTTCAGACGTAGATCAGGAGTGGCAAAAAACGTTGCCAGCATGAGTTGGATTGCAATGGATCTCCTACAGCCCTGTTCTCGAGGGCTGTGGAATGAATCACAGAATGGTTAGAGTTGGAAGAGACCTTAAAGATCATCCAGTTCCAACCCCCCTGCCCTGGGCAGGGACACCTCCCACCACACCAGGTTGCTCAAAGCCCCATCCAGCCTGGCCTTGAACCCCTCCAGGGATGGGGCAGCCACAACTTCCCTGGGCAACCTGTTCCAGTGCCTCACCACCCTCACAGGAAAGAATTTCTTCCTAATATCTAATCTAAATCTCCCCTCTTCCCATTTAAAACCGTTACCCCTTGTCCTGCCAAGGACAAGAAGCAGTTCCCTTCAGTGATCCATAATCAAGTGTCCCTCCTTCCTCTGTCCCAGGTATTGAAATTCCAGAATTTTTTAGCACTTTGGGTGAAGTATTGTCTGAACGATAAACTCAAAAGGTTGGTTAGATTCTGCAGAGCATCTGAGTAGGTAGTAGGTATCTACAGGTTTACCCCTAGTATGAGAAAAAAGTTCTTAACCCAGCATAAGCAGTATTTATTTAACCTCTTTTTTCCTCAAAGTATTCAGAAGTTTCTTTTCACGCCATTGACTGTATTTCATTGCTTTTCTTCCATGTGTATATATGCATGTCCCTATTTGGGAATAATGCAAATCAATTTGCCCATGAAGGTTTTCACAGAATAACAAAGGAGGAGTTTGACGTTTTACAGATATCTAGAGTCATGGTAAAATCTCTGTCTGTTTAAGTATGCAGTTATGGATAGAGCATTGCAAGTAGCTGTGGAAGTGGATGCTGTGTTCTGTTTGTTCAGTAACAACAGGATTTTGCTTCCAAAGCTTCTCTTTCTGCATTAGTTCCCCAAAATTATGGGCCATATCCACAACAGGTCTAAGGAAACTCAATTCCAGCAAGATCAGAGGAGTTGTGTGGCTCCACATGAGAAGAAAAAACGGCTCTATCATTTGAGAGGCTATTCTGTCGGTATCAAGACTTGTGTAACTATGAAAAACTTCTGGGGAAGGTCCACCCCTCTGTTATAAGGGAACGTATGTGCTTTGCTGAAAATAGTTTTGAGATTGGTAAGACCTGGCTTGGCCTTGACCTCTGTGATTTTCTTTCTTTACATTTGTGTGTGGGAGGGATTTTTCTTTATTGCTGTGTCTTTAATAAGACTTAAAAAGAAAAACAATAGTAGAACCTCTACAATAGCAAGGAAAGTATTTACATTTTTAGCATTTAGCTATGGCAGTGAGAGAGGAAGTTGTTTTATAAGCAGTGAATAAAAATAAATTGAAGTAACATAATTTGACCCCAACCCTTTTAAGTTTTAAGGCCTTGTAGATAAGAATGAAGTATGTCATTTTTAGGGTGGTGGAGAACACTGATTATTGATAATGAGATATAGAGCCTTTCATCTCTTGATCCCTGGTCCAAGTTTGACCTAAGTCAGTAGTAAATGAAAGTCAGCTAGCTACCATCTGATACAAGCAGCAAGCCTAAGAAATTATTTGGGGGCCTGTCTCAAGGGATTTTGGATGAAATATTGACCCTGCCAAGGTCAGAATTTCACCTCCAGGGTCCGCTTCACTCAAAATCCATCAGGTTTGGGGCACCTTACTTTTGGATGGTCACATGATAAAGGTCAAGAATTGAACAGGCAGAGAGACAATACTGTCCTCTCATTCCCACAGAGATGATCTATTTGTAGTGAAATTTTGATTATGCTGCCTGCCTCTTGACAGTACTGTGTGGTCATGTAGTCTCATGAACCCTGGTTGCAGCCCAATTATTGTGAAGTCACTGATAGGGAAAACCATTTAAAAATAAAAAAAACCCCACCCTTATTGGCAGTGAATACAAAGCACAACTTTTCTCCTCTTCTCAGCTTAGTTGACTGTTGTCAGAGAGAAGAAACAATTCCTGAAGAAATCTGCCTTTGTATATAAATGGAGACAATGAAGTCACCCTAACATGCCCATGTTTAAAACGGTCTGTGAGTTTACAATCAGGTTATGGTAGATGGAACAAAACTGTGACATGAATGTAGCTGTGAGTTCAGCTTTTCTGACCTTGCCCTAATTAATCTAACAGGCTTCTGTCACGTTGGCCCAGAGTTTTTAAATAGCATTAGATTTATTGACAGGGAAATATTCCTACAAAGTCTGGATAACTATTTGACTTATGTGCAATTGAATGATTAGGCTGCAGTTATGAACACAACCTATTTATGACAAAGGGTTCGTTTTACTTGAGCCAATTTTTTCTAAGCTTGTGAGAGTTGCCATAATTCCAGATAAATTATTACACAGAAGAAAGCTATTGAAATATTGTATTGAAAACATAATACCCTAAGGTTAAAAAAAAAAGCACAACCTGACTGACCCTGTGATTTATGACTCCTTTCTCTGAGTGCGCTAACTTGGAAACAGTTCCCTCTCTCCATACCCCAGTGTACAATCACCGATACACACACAATACATAAGCAGGGGGAGACTGCAAACATGTCTCTCCTCCTTAGAGGACTGCAGATGCCGGGTGTAACTACAGCTCAATTAAACTCGCTGCTTCTGTGATGCTGAAGGAAGATGTGTTAGCTACTTGAGCTTAGAAAGATGTACCTGGCATGTGAGTCTCTAATGGGCATTATGTCTTTTTCAAGTCCGTCTCTGCTGAATTAACTGGAAGGAGGTTTCACTAACGCAGGAGACGGCCAGCTTATCTTCATATAGAGAGTTAAGTAAAGACATAATGCCAACCTGGAGAAAAGTTGCAGATTAGATTAAATCTAAGAATCTGTATAACTTCGAGATGCTAATATATCATCCATACAAGATTTTGTGTTTTGGCAAATGGTTATAATAATTCTCTGCTTTTCAGAGTGTTCTAGACCTAATTTGTGAGGAGGTTTGAGTTTCTCTGGATAATTAACTAAACCTCCCCCCATCTTGTTTTGGAATACCGCTTTGGAATGCATCCTCCCATGCACGCTGCTTTCTGTTCTATTTAATCTCCGTGTGTGTGTGTAGGGAAAAAGTTTTAGCTGTAACAGCTCCTGCCTGCTGAGCATTGAGGGTCTTCTCCCCTGAACAACTCAGTCTTGCTGTTTTACCAGAAACGAAGCTGGAATGTGTGCTCTGTCCTGTTAACTCTAGTGCATCAGCAGCCCCGAAGATCTCGGGTTGTGTTTCCGAAGAGCTCTGCAGTGATCTGCAGCTGGAGGAAAGAGCAGACACAGAGCACGGCTCAGCAGGTTTTTGGACTAAATCTAGTTTTGTCCTTCAGGTCCTCAGGGGAACTCTCACTGTCACCTCCCCATCTTCTGAGGGGCGAAAATCCACTTCCTGGCATCCTTGCTCTGGAACACGGTGAAGTCTCGAGCCCTGTAGTGGTCCCATCAGGTGGGCAGAGACTGAAAGAAACTTGAAGACTAGATGCTCCTTTTTCGTGATGCTGAGCTGGTCCCCGGGACAGGCAATGAGCCTCCATGGTGGGGCATCTCCGAGATGCAAAGTTTTGTGGGTTGGTACAGTTGACACTTTCCACTAGCTTGGAGAAAAAGTCTGGCCCAGGTTGACGATGGCATAGTTTGCTTTGAAGCTCGGTGACGAATGTCACTTTAATTGAACTATATTTAAAATGAAATATGGTTGTTAAAATTCATAAAGCAATTCATATTCAGTAGGGCACTGCTGATAAAATAGGTCAACCTTGCAGCCTAAATTGTGATAAAACTGATGCTGCTAATCTCACAATTTTGTAGAAAGCCTGACAATGTTTTATGTTTTTCCCTCAAGCCCCAGCTCTTGGAGTCACGTGATGACAAAAATGCCAGCTTTCATTTCTTCAAAATGTAAACTTCTAGCTCTTGTATTTCCAGGCAAAATCTGAAACCGTGAGCACTACAAGTTCCAAAATTAGAAGGCAAACACAACTGAGTCCAAATGTTGTTTTTTAAACTGTTCTGATTTTTAGTCAAAATTTTTTTTGGAGAGTCCAGCTCAAGATCCTGGAACACTACAGGTTGCCAATAATGTAAAGCTTAGATCTCAAAGCAGCAAGAAGCAACAGCGCTGCTTTATGATGTCTCTAACATTTGGGCCACAGTTTTGTTTGACTTTTTAGTTTAATACTGCCAGTACTTAGTTACTAATTTGTATTCATTTCTGGGTGACATACTTTAGCCCGAGAACTGAGTGCTGTCTGAAACTGGAGGGCAGTTCCTGCCAGACAGCAACCATTTGATGACTCTGTGTGTTTTAATAGAGGGTTTTCTTTCTCCTTCAGAGCTAGGGACTTGTCAGTAGACGTTGTAACAGGACGTCTTTGCTGGTAGAAAGTTGGGATCTCTGAAGAATGAGAGGATGCCCACTGAATTCTGATGCAAAGCGAGACAGGCGCACCTCCAGGCGAAAAGCTTACCCTGGCCTCCATGGCCTCAAGCTTTGCAGGCCCTTTGCAGCTTCTCTGGCAGGGTGTGTGGGCACCACGGCCCTCCAGACACCATGCCCCTTTGGGCTGCAGGCCTCCTGGCTTCCCTGAATCCCTCAGCTGCCCTGGGTGTCCTCCTGGCTCTAAATAAGCCTTCCCTTCGTGAGACTGGATCCACATTTCCATCCTCCCCACCCGCCGACAGCTG